GGGGGGGGGGGTGTAGAGACAGGATGGGACAGTGAGAATATATATATATATATATATATATATATATATATATATTTGTCTCACTGAAGTATGAGCTGCATTTGGTGCTAAAAATCTCAAATATTGGAAAATAATTTGCGTCTTTGTTTTGTCGTCCTAATTCACAGTCAAGTTCTCCAACTCCTGAGACCCAGAAGTGGGCCACGAGAGGATGAGAACGGGCTTCACAGAACGTTGGAACACAAACTACAACTCAATGAGGGGCTGAAGAATGACTGAAGAATTTCAAATTTATATGAAAAATGTCTCGACAAAATGTGTTTATTTCGTGGGGGGGTTGAACTGTGGACTATTCCAAGGCCAGGAATCTAATGGTACGACAGTGTGACATCACAGGAGGGTGTGAGAGAATGTGGGCATCAACAGGGAGTGAGTTTGTTCAGAAGGGGAAGATTTTTCTAATTCAAATAAATCTGCGTTCAGGAGCAGCTCAGGTTCAACTCCACTGACCGTGTCTGTGACCCAGCGGGTGCTGCCGTGTTACACCAGACTAAAACTGACTGAAAACCAGACTGAAATGCTGTATCAGCTGCAGTACCACCACCAGCCAGCAGATGCTGGAATCTGAAACATCTCCTGTCAACTTCTCCCTCTGAAACACACACACACACTCGTGATCCTGTGAGTCATTCTGAGCGGGGCGCCGCTGTGATGGTCTGTTGGAAATAATCTTACGGTTATTGTGACATCACGGGTCAAAAAGCCACATGTAGAGTTTGAACCAATCAGAGATGTCCTGAGAAACGGTCACAGAGCAGACGGGACTGACCACTTGATCCAACTGGGATTTTAATGTGGAAACGTAAGTTTCTCTGACAGATTTAAGAGAGAAACTTAGTGGGTGATAGAAGGAGTGAAACACACACACACACACACGTCTACTACAAAACAGGCTGTGCAGGGGAGGGCGGGGGGAGACAAAGAGAGACACTGATGGGGGAGGACGATGAGAGAAGCAGGGTGAGGAGCTGGGACACTGTCTTCAGTCAACAGACAGTCCAGTGATGACTCATGGAACTCAGAGTCACCGCCGCCGCCACCGCCGCCACCGCTGCCGCTGTTGGTGGTAACAACACACGGCCGACTCGACTTGACTGACTGGTTACTGCTGTTGTGACTGACTGACTGACTGACTGAGACTCACCTCAAAACACACCAACACTGATCATCACTGGGCCACAGGGCGGAGGACGGCAGCTTCGATGGTAATAATCACTTGGATTTTTTTCTTTGGTTAATTGGATTTTTATCGCGCTTCAACAGTTTGTCGTAACCAAAATATGAAGATACGATACGTAGCATGATACGCGATATATTGCGATACGCTGCGATACTCTATGAACCACAATATATGAAATCATTTTTTTAAACAACTCAATTGTAGGAAAACTAAAAAAATTTGTTAATAAAACTGGAACAGAAGAGTCAACATTTGTAAACACTCAAGAAGAAAATAAAATAAGAAAGATAAAAAGAACCAACACCAGGAATATTTGACTGGGAATTGGTAATTAAAAAAAGAAAAAAAAAATCAATGTAGTGCCCTGCAGTGAATATCAATACCATATTGTGAAACAAAATATTACAATACTTCAGTGTACTGACATTTTGTGACACTTGTTTGTGGACAGTGATCAATGAAGCTCTTTCTTCAGATTTGATTTCTTGGACAACTCTCCTTTGTTTTTATCAGTCATCACCATCAATCATCAGCTCTAAACACGTTAACCCCTGATCTGAACAGACGAGTTTACTAATGCCTTCACACACACACACACATACACACACACGTGCAGGAGGCACTTTATGAGTTTTAGTCACGGAGCAGCTTCAGTGGAACAGATCTGGTGTCGTTCCAAACTCTGCCCCGGGGCAATAACAACAGGAGCAGTTAGTCATTCACCTCTTCTGACAAGATTTTTTCCGCAGATACGACACTTACAGCAGGTGGACTCCGTTATTACCACGGATGCATTGAGCTGTAACCAGCTTCTTACCGGAGAGTTCTTCACAAAGGACTCGCTCACAAACCCATTTGCACCGACTGTTCAGACCTCTTTAATCTGTGGTTCTCCGAGACCAGATTTCAGATTTCTGACTAGCCAAACATCTGGAGGAATCATAAAAAAAACGGAGCAGAGTTGGTGCTAATTTCTGATGACTATAAAACCGAGCTTAAACTTTTTCTATCCTACTTCACAAGTTTACCATCCCAAAGAAAGTAAACTCATCTTTGACCGATGTTTTTAGTTATTATTTATCATAATTCCTCCTGTGATCAATAAACTACCTGTATCCATCTATAAGAAGAAGAACCGTCTGAGACAGTAACCTCGTGATGTCCCTGCAGCCATACTGTGATGTGTATATCCGCGTGGCTCATTAGTAAATAAACACTGGTGGTATGTGGTTTGGCTGTTAGCAATTAAGCTAGGAAGAGCCGTAAAACAGAGCATCTAAAAAGCAGTGTGTGTTGAAAAGAATTCTTCAGTCAAAATCTGAGTGTAAAATGTTTTTTTCTTCCCCAGTAGAGAACAGCTGGAAATATAAGAGTCTCGATAATGTTCAACGTTACAGTCAGCACTGTACAAAGTGAGGAATTCCAAACGTGGGAAAGCCCTGGTGAACGACTTGACTCCAGTCTATGAATCAGGTCAGTTCTGCAGAGTTAAACCTGCTGAGTGGGAACTCTGCGAGTGTGCTGCAGTAAATATGTACATGTGTTTGTGGAGGGAGGGGGGGGGGCAAACACTGCTTCACCTGCTGCACCAGTGTCAGTGTTGAGCCAGCATGCAGATAAGAGACTTTTCAAAACAACCTTTTAAAATCAAGCCTTTAAATGTGTGTAATCTTGTAATCAATTCCCACGGCAGAGTTTACTTTGGAGAGCTGAACAGACAAGATCACACAAACCACTGCTCACCCAGTTATGACATGTACGTGGATTCATCAGCACCGACAGGTCTGGTCGCGTCACCGCTGACATATTTATTCGCTTATTAATTCTGTTTCTCAACTTCTACCTTGAACTGCATTATCCAGTTAGGAGCCGGAGCCAAACCCAGACGACGGCAGGTTGAAGGTGTGGCCGAGCAGCCGTGTTTGACAGAAATATGTCATTAATAAATCAAAGCAACACCATCGTCAAGTTACGCATTACTGAAGATAAAAAAAAATTAAATAATCAATAATCACTGTCGTGTAATTCAGATTAAATTAAATGTCATTATCTAGACTTAGTTGGTATAATAATAAATGATTATTTTAATATGCCTCAGAGAAAAGTCCAAAAAGCCAAGTCTTCTTTTGAACTCTGCCAACCTAATAATTAAAGGAACATCACACAGTTTCAGTATCTGTCCTGACAGGAGAGCAGCGTCTGACTTCTGAAGAAAATCAATAAATCAATCAATCAAGCAGTTTGCAACAGGAAATTTAAGTTTGTTACTGCATCGGTACCGAAACCCTGACATAGGCCTGGGACGATAATCAATAAATATATATTAACAACCCGACAATTGAAAATGAACCTGATCATTTTGCCATTTTGTTTATGTCGTCTCTCGCCTCCGTGCATCGCTCCCAGCACCTGGGCTGCGTTTACATTTGTGGTTACATTTTAGTCTCAAAATAATGTTGACAATAAAAACTTTTTATCTGCAGTAATTTGTTCAGTTTGTGCTGAAAAGGTTCAAATGTAGAGAAGAAAATCTTTTCCATCGCCTGGATCCACCTTCAGGAGGAGGTCAAAGAACAATGAACAGGAACTGAAACATCCACAAGTCCAAGAACAATGATGGGTTTTTTTTACTGTACAACAACTCTGGTTGTAGACGAGGTATCAATACGACTGACTGAGAGCCAGGAGGAGGAGACCAACCTGGTTGTAGACGAGGTATCAATACGACTGTAGTTGACCCTGAGAGCCAGGAGGAGGAGACCAAACCTCTGCTCGTGGTCCAGGACCACAGGGATCTTGTGATCCTTCAGATCCTCCTGAGGTTGGAGAACTGGAAGTCCACCTCAGTGAGACAAACAAGAGCGGGAACAGGAAAACAGGATGATGTGGAGCTGCAGCGTTCACTGAAGGCCCGCAGCCCTCTAAGAGTGTGTGTGTGTGTGTGTGTGTGTGTGTGTTTAGTGCGCCGCCTCTGCTGTCTTCCTCTGAAGGAATGGTGGAAAACAATTGAGCAGCAAACACAAACACACACACAAACACACACACACACACACACACATACGCACACACACACTGAGGAAGTGATGATTCTTCCTGGACCATGGAGGCATAATTACCCATAATTCAACAGCAGGCATTCACAAATCAATCCCGAACATGGACGATAATTGCTAATGCTAAAATAGATTGGCCGCAGCTGACAAACAGTTCAAAGACCAATCAGGGTGTGATTTAGTTCGTGTTTGTGACCATTCTAACTACAGCTTGGTTCAAACTCTGAGGACCACAGATTCAGGAGCACCGCCAACCAGCCAGCCACGGTACTGCACCCAGAAGTGCTCAAGTAACGGGTTCAAAATGCAACTCACAGGTTGGTTGCCTCACTGAGTGGTATTTCTGCATGGTCATTTGGTGTTTTCTCTTCCTGGGCAACAAACCCTTCTGAGGGACGTGGGGTAGACTGACCACCGACCACCGACCACCGACCACCAAGAATCAAGAATCCT